GCAAATACTACTTCATCAGCTACAAATACCACATCTATACCTACAACTCCTCTTGCAAATACTACTACACCAGCTACAACTACCACATCTATACCTACAACTCCACTTGCAAATACTACTACACCAGCTGCAACTAGCATATTTTTTCCTACAACCACCACAGCTTCACCTACAACTACCACATCTCCGCCTACAACAACCACCTCTTCACCTACAACTACCACAGCTCCACCTACAACAACCACTGCTTCACCTACAACTACCACAGTTCTGCCTACAACTACCACAGCTTCACCTACAACCACCACCACCTCACCAACTACTACAGCTCCGCCTACAACAACCACTGCTTCAACTACAACTACCACAGTTCTGCCTACAACTACCACATCTCCACCTACAACTACCACATCTCCACCTGCAACTTCAGCAGCTATCCTACCCATGTGTAAGTGTTTCTGACACATCTGTTTTTGGTCTGAAAGCAAAGGGTGACTTTGAATGTTTAACAGTGAATGTTCAGTGGATAGAGCTACTACACCTCCAAAAACTAATCAGCGTAATACTCAACTTAACCTACAACTACACCTCTAACTAGCAACACCACATCCCACCAAAAGCTCAGACTTCTACCACTAATACCACACTTCCACCCACAACTACATCTCTATCTATTAATACCACAGCTCCTCCTACAACTACAACCCAAACCACTAATTCCTATTCCTGATGTAATGCAAATCTTTTTTTGGGTCTAAGACCAAAGGATTTGACAGTGAATAGGCAGTAGATAGAGATGTAATTTACCACTCCTCCAGAAACTTATCAGCGTAAAACTTTAAACACTTTAATGAAAGCATCACTTTTAATTAGAGCAATGTGCACCATAATGTGATGTTTTATGCCTGGTGGAGCGGGTGATGAATAGATGAAACTCTTTATGAATTTGTTCTCAAAGTGCTTGTGTGTGTGTTTACAAGGCCTAAAATATGTCAACAGTTTCCTTACCTGCTTTATAATACCAATTCTCTTCTCTTGCAGATGTTGTTGCTCTCAGAATGAGGATTTCTACCACACTGTCGTTGGATGACAACACTGAAACTCTGCTTGCACAGGTCAGTGTCTTCATGTAGCTGTACTTTAGACAAAAGAACAAAGCACATTTCCATTAAAAAAACAACAACCGTGCAAATGGAAAATAAGCAAAATGGTCCTCCGGCTGTATTTTAACACCACCTTTTTTTTCTTTTTCCCGTCTAGTTTAAAGAGGAACTGATCAGAAATGGACTCCCCTCGAGTATCATTTTAAACATTGTGAAGGTGTGAAGGAGTAGATATTCTGAACAGGGACTCCCTGTGGCTGATTGTGAGAGTTCTTCTGGTCCTTGTAGAGCTTTTTCTGTCATGAAGTTTGGGATCAAGTGGTTTATTTTGTTTCTATCCTTTACCGGTACTTCTTTTTTTATTTTACCCCTGTGTTTATTGGCAATTTAGAACCACATATACTCACTTCCACTCCCAGGGGCCGTTTGGAGTGTCCAACATGCATGTTCTTGAATGGTAATAGGAAGCTGGAGTACCCGTATGGGACCCACGCAGACACAGGGAGAACATGCAAACTCCACACGGCAAGGGCACCCACACCAAAGCCCGTTTGCAGAAAACAGGGTGTTGAATGTTTCCCAAAGATTCTTTAACTCATGGGCTAAATGGAAGTCCATTCACATCAGAGATACTCAGCATTCACCCACTTTTACCTGCTGAAAGGGATTTTCCTGTAGTAAAGAAAAACCAAGAACTGCTACGATAAAGACACTGAAATGTTCCCAGAGCTGAAAACATTGAGATTTCTATTACTTTTGCCTGTCAAATACATAAACTTTTTGTATGTTTTTAGAAACTAAAAAGGGATTTTCAAATAAACATTAATAACAACATTCTTTTTATGGTTTTAATGTACCATCCCCACATTCCATTGCGTTGACATAGGAAAGCCCTACAGTTTTTCCCCACAGTTTTTCCGACACCAAGTGTAATTCATTAGTCAGCAGTTATGGCAGCATGTACACATTCTCATTATATTGTGTGATGGAGTTTGTTTAAGAGATGTGCTTTGCAAATGTACAATTAATAGGTTCCCTTTGCTTATTCAGGGGGTTTCTTATGCATGGGCAGACCGGCAGTGCCATGGGCATAACAGCACGATGACTTTGAGATGAGATTCTTTTCAAACTTTGGCACCCTTTGGACTTTAAGCTCACTCTCTTGATGATCTAGTTTAACAAGTTCTAAATAGAAAGTATTCAAGTGACTCACCCTTTAATGACTCATAATTGTGTCCTGTAAAGTATGAGTAACAGGCTGTAGGAGAAAAACCTGGGTAATGTGAGAAGAAAATATTGATACCTTTCCTGCTTGTGGCGAGAAACATTTCTCTTATAGGGTTGACAATAGTTTAGTTGAGTATTTTTTGTCTTTAGTTGTTGACACTAGCTAAATTCAATTAAAATTGTTCTTGCAAAAAAAGATTGTAGGTGTCTCAAGTCGTAGATTTCATGTTGATAAGGTAAACTTTTAATAGCAATTGTAGTGTTTTGTGTGTTGATGTAACAGAAGTGACGGAGCCAGAAGTTGTTTAAAAGACATCAGTTTTTACTTTGACTCCAATGAACCAGAGCAGCATATCAAGAGGAATAATACATGTAATAAATAAAACATCGGACTGTTGTAAACTTGTTTTTATCATGAAACCATATGATATTAACCTGTTGTCATTTGTAGGCCGTGAAAACTTTTTTAAATTTTTTATTCATTTGCCAACCAGCCAATCAAATAAAAAAAATCTGGAGTAAAATGCAACAAATGTAAAATGAGCTTTACAAATGATGATAATTATCGAAAAAAGATGTAATGTCAATGGTTTAATAGTCAGAGATAATTTTGAGTTTTTTACATCAATTTTGTTCTGTTAAATACACCATCATGGCCAGAGACCAACTAACACAATTATATTTTATATTTGTATATTATAGTCCTTAAACTGGCTGGTGGCTACCAATTCATTTCAGGCCGTCTTTGTTTGTACTCACATTCCTTCCTGCTGTCTAGTCACACAGCAAATGGGGAGTGCTTGTCTTGCCTCAAGGTTAAAAGCCACCTCTTTTGGATTTTATCTGATGGAATCAGTGGTAAAGAGGCAGCTGCAGCTATTCAAATGTAGCCAAACAAGCACAACTCCCATAAACTAAAACACAAACAGAAAACACACGTCAACCAAGAAAATTGACCAAATTAGTCAGCACCCTGATAGTTACACACACATCCCGATGAAAAACATTTGTGGTCGGAGATCTTTTCCCTCGCTTTACAATAAGAAGTGCAAATGTTTTCAATTTAGAGAGCAATTTAGGGTGATACCCAATGAAACGTCAACCTACCATTGAGTAATCTCATATTTAGCAAAAACATTTCAAACCTTCCTTGTTTTATCCATATTGTTTAAAAAAAAGAAGACCTTTCCCTTCATTGACATTGCACATCTTCAATATGAAATATAAAATGTCATATTTACAAAAAAAGGACCAAACCTGGGCCAGAATTACAGGATGTGGAGAGCAGTTACGAGAAACATTATTCACCTAATGTCAATACATTATGCATTCGTTCAATTCCTGAAGTCACTATAAAACTATACAAAATGACTGTAATAAGGCAGCTTCTACCCTCCATACGCATGGATTCATACTGCAGACAAAATGATCATCGAATAACTGCGTGGCAACTTATTGGTTGAAGTAAAGAAAATCTTAATTTTAAGCCTTTTTTTAAAAATAGCTCATTTGCTGGTCAGCACCCCAGCTGAGTACGCCAGTTCTCTCATTCAGCTCCAACGATGCATAATGAGCCCTTTAGCCATCTTTGAAAAACACCTTTCAGAAACCTGATTTCGCTAGAAAAAAAACCTTAACGATACTGACGAAAACCTGTTTTTCTTAGTTTCTTTAAAGCAAAATATGACACACACAAAAAAACAAGACAAAATAACTTCTGCTTTTAGAGTAACTTATTGCTTTTCATGTAATTCGTGAAAATAAATAAAAAAAATTTCAAAGTGTCTTTAAAGAAAAATGTTTTTAAAAAAAATCACTGCTTGAAGGTGCGTCAGCAGATTTGGTCTCAACTCTTAATGGGTCCCTGATATTAGGACTGATTTAATGCTGTTCTCCAGCAGAGGGAATTGTGCAATATCCATCCACCTACTGCCGCCAACTGATCACACCTTTGTCACCTTTGTCTCTAATTGGACCAGACGTTAAGAAATTCTGAAACTAAACTCAACACAGTTATATAATAAAATGTTTTATCATAGACTGGCACTCAGTGATGTACATTTTCCCTTCTTAATATCCCAGTTCTGAAAACTCTGAGAAAGAAAACAAGCAAATAAAAGAGTAATATCCAAATGATAGCATCATAAACATCCTGAACGCTACCAAAGCTGTTCAGTTCTCTATCTGAGGAAGCAGAGAGCAGAAAACTTATAAGCAAATCTAAACCAATTTGTCCACAGTGTGAATGCAACATGACAAATCTTCAGACAACTTTCGATTAGATGCATAATCTGTATAGTTCAATCCACCATCTAGCCCAGGTTGGACACAACATTTTTAAAAATCAATGTATCCACACGTAAAAACGCACTGTGGGGTGAAGCTGCCTTTGTGTTGTATATGAACCAATTAGGAAACTTCAATGTTCCATCAACAAGATAATCTGACAACTTTAATTAAGGCTTGATTTTCAAGATCAAAATGGTCTCTTTTCAAAAAATGGGAACATCCAAATTTTCTTTTTTTTTAAATACCATCTTTTTTAGAATAATTCACAAACTTCCCCTCAACAAAATTGATTTACTTACAGTAGCTGTACACCAGCACAAAGATGTAAATATTAAATAAAAACATTGAAGACCGGATGTTGAAAGCCTGGGAATACAGTTTTAATCCTGGGAATGCAATTGATTATAATGACAATCCCATTTAAAAGATGAGGAATGATATTGACACAACTCAGAAATCTTTGTGACTGCTCAAGCAATGCCCACTGAAATTAAATATAGGAATATAGGAGACGAGTCATTCCAAACACAAGCTCGGGAATGCCAGAAATCCTAGGAATAACCCCAGATGAGCTTTATTGAAGTTGAAAGCAGATGGACTGTTGTTTAAAATATCGGAATACCAGATGAAAGCCTAAAGATAGCAGATTACTTAAAAACAGGAGAATATCAGTAACTATCCCATGGTTTCATCTAAATGCGTTTGAGCTCTGAACACTTGCTGGGAAAACAAAAAAATATTTAGGAATGGTAATAACCTGCTTAGAAGTGTTCATACTGAGTCAGGAAATTCCACTTGAAAGTAAAAAAATGTTTTCTCAAAATGCTTTTAAAATGTATGCTTATTACTGGCCAACTAATGCCAGTTGAAAGACAAGTCATCCTGATGACTATCCTTAAAAAGTCAGTTAAAAATGTAACTACGGTAGTTTAGGTATTGAAGTTCAACTGTCAGTGATTGGATAGAAGATTCACATTTTTAAAAAAAGCATTGTTTAAAACCCGAGAATGCTACTTGAATGACTGGATGAAGGCTCAGCATGCTCTTGGCTAGTTCCAGACCCAGTAAGGTGTCTTTTGAACAGTCCTCTTGTTCAAAAGACACTTGTTACAAAACCTTTTATTCCCTTTTTGCAGCATGCCGGTGGTACATCACAATAATGTCAAAGAACAAGAACATTCAATTTCATGCTGAAGCATAAAGGCAGCTCCACCCTTCCCTTAGAAATACACAGTTATTGGTAGTAAGCGCCACTGAATTGGTAGTAACAATAAATAATGTAAGAATCCACTGAGATCGAGCAGAATACTGACAGCTGTACTCTGTGTGTGTAAATGTTAACAAGCAGTACGTCGGAGAGTTTGGTGAAACATAATTCCCGCCTTATCGGTCTTGTACATGATTTGAACTGCATCGGTTTGTGTGTATGCTGTAGCAGAAATGTAACGTGCTGTTTCAACACAGTTCAGTTAGTAGCACGTCAAAGCTTTCAGTCACATAAAGACAAATAAATATACAAAATAAGAACACAAAAAAAGGGAATCCCTTTGTTGGAATTTGAATCTCTTCATTTTCTAGGTAGCAAAACCGCAAACTCATCTAATTCTATTGTTAATCTCTGGTGTTTGTTGCACCGTAACATAATTGCACAACTTAACATGAAAGCCAGAAGTATGTGGACAAGTAGTTCCCGTTTAGTCCATATTTAGGGTCATTTGCTTCAGCGCTGACGGATTAGGAGGGCCCTCTCGTGATCTGAGAGACTTCTAAAATAAATCCCACTCTAAAGGTCTAAAGGGAACACTCCACACCGGATTAACACGACACCCACCCTCACCGTTATGAGTTTCAAATGGGGGCAAATCTGCTGGAGTCCCCTGAATGTCTCCCCAGGTGTGTTAAGCTGTCTGCATACTTTTGGCTACAAAGTCTACTGTAGTTTGCACTATTTGAGTGACAAAAGTAAAGCTTGACCTGATTTTTTGCACTTAAATATACACAGATAGTGACCTTAGAAATTCACATCAGTGCAGATAAAATTGCCATAACAATAACAATAATTATGCTAATAATAATAAAACTTAATTAAATAAAAGCTAAACTTTTTTTTAAATAGAGATTTTCTATTAGTGCAGCAACAAGGTGAAAGTGGACCTCCATTCCAAAAGCCCCTGACCTGTTTTAGTAACTCAAAGTGGAGACTGCTGGCTGGTAAAGTCGGGCTTGATCACCAAAAAAAAAAAAAAAAAAAAGGTTTTGGAAAATCCAGAAGCACAAAAACGGGAGAGAATTCAATTTCCCTCAAAACAAGGACTGACAGAACAGCACTGGAGTTTGACTGATGTGGGAAACCTGATTATGCCACCACATATTCCCAAGCCTGGTTTCTATCCCATTAACAGCCAAATCTGAGGGAATATTAGAAAAAAGTCCCAACAATGTGAATCCCCATCAAAAACTGAATGTTAATGCTTCACTTCAGGTTTCTGTCTAAAAGTAAATGACAAAAGCTGCTTCATAATTCTGCAGTGCTAAAGTTACAAACACTTTTGGGAGCTGGGTTTTTGTGAGTTTAAAGCTTGGTGAGGGAGACCTCTCTTTCAATTGTAAACAAAGTGTGGACGCCAGCGTCCACACGGCTGGGAGTTCAGACCGTACCCACACATCTGGACGGCGGTTTGGAAATCATATCCAGCTCTCAACTGTGCAACGGCAAAAATTTGGCCAGCTTGTGATGCACTTTGAACTGCGTTTGGGGAGAAGGGAACCAATTTCTTCCCCATTGTTGTAAGTAAGAATGTATATGAGATCTTGCTCGTCCAGTTTCCCTTTTTAATGACCTGTCTATAAAGCTGCGTTTTCACAGAAAACGTTTCTCGTCTGTATGAGCAGCTCATGGTTCTGGTGGCTGACAGCGCAAAGAGGAGAAAGACTCATCAGTCAAATGCCAGTGTCTGCAATGGAAAACAACAGAGGGGGGGGGGCTGGGGTTTGGAGTCTGAAGATGAACATCTCCCACCCAAAGACGGTGAGACTCATCAGATGCAGGTACACCCACTCTGCTCACGCGCTCCCACAGCTCCCCTCCTCTTCACCAATCAGGCCAAACATAAGACATTGCAGGTAGGCAGAGAAAAAAGAAACCAAAAAAAACATACAGAACGTCTCCCTGTGCTCCACGTGTCCCGGCGAGCTCACAGGTCTGAGATCAGACGTCGTAGTCCGGCAGGGCGGAGTAGATGATGCCACCTACCGACGGGGGGCTGGAGTGGAGGGGAAGCAGCCAGCTAAACACCGAACCTGAGTGGACAGAGAGGCGGGAGAGGGATGAGGCGGGTTTGGGGCTCCGGGGAGCGGGGAATTTGAGCGACGGCCGGCAGAGCCGCCCACCTCTTCCGAAGACCTCCCGCAGCAGGGCCAGCTTGGGCTTGCGGGTGTGCGGGAGGTGGGGCGGCGGCTGGGGGGAGGCGGAGGAGGGCGAGCTGGATGTGGGGGAGGAAGACCTGTCCTTGATCATCAGCCTGTTTCTCATCTGCTCGATGGGCGTCTCGTCGGTGATGATGGAGACCAGCTGGGGGAAGAGACGGAGATTTGTGTCAAGAAGTTTGTTTCAAATGGTTTTCCCCGCATTTCCAGACAGTCTGTGGCTCAACCCCGTCTAGTCCTTTTGACATATCTCAGCAAATCAAGCACAATCGAGGAAGAAAAAAAAAAGGAGGGAGGGGCAACCTGATCGTAAAAGATGACCATGACAAAGACCCCGAACAAGACCGACTCCACCAGGAGGATGATGTAATGAGCTCTGTGACAGAGAGAGAACAGAAATAAGGGAACTGAAGAGACAGGTTCCACTGAAAGGCTCCGCTCAGAGGAGGCCCCGACTCACACTATCAGGCGTTTGCCGGCAGACTCCTCGCCCTCTTTCTCCGCCTCGCCTTCCTTTTCGCTGCGTATCCGCCACACCCAGGCCCACACCACCAGCACCAGGGAGTACAGGCTGGCCACGCCTGCACACACACACACACAGCGCTGCATTTGCAAACTCCAAACACTTTTGCACAACTTTTACTGAGTTCCTGTTTTTTGCGTTTTTTTTTTTTTTGGATGGTCATCTTGGGATCTCAGTGGAAACATCCTGACACTTCAATGCTGTTTAGGAATTCAATGGCCAATATAAAAAATGAGCATTGACTATAGCTTTTTTTTCTGCCAATGAAGATTTGAGTCCATGGCGGGCAATTGGAAAACACATAAAGCTGGTGCTACCCATAGAGCTTAAAAAATACATATCACTGAGGTCTAATCTAGTCTTAGATTTATCCAAAATTGAAATTTCGGTTGATGTAGGTCCAGGCTTATGGAATTGAGCCTCTATTAGAAATAAAAAACTGGAAATCAACTCTGTGAGGTCTGTTTAGCGGCCCTTTATTCATAACAAAAAGTAATAAATACTTGTTTCATGAAAAGGCCAAAAATGGAATGTCACCATGTCATCGTTCCTGCTCTTTGCCTTTGTGGGGCAGCAGAACATCGATGAAAGACGACAGCCTCCCCTTTTTTTTTTTGCTGTAAAAGCACATTAGCGTTCCGGTTTCACTCACCCGTGTAGAAGAGGAACTGGATGAAGTACTTTTGGTTTAGCTCCCCGACGCAGTTGTTGATCCTTAAAAGAGAAACAACAACTGTCTGTTCCAGCTGTGTGCGGTGGGCTGAGAGGAGGGAGTCTGGCTAAAGCTTTCTCACCAGGGGCAGTGGTGGTCCATGCGGCGGATGCACCGCTGGCAGACGCGGCAGTGGTGCGCTCGGGGGGGCCTGTAGGTCTCACAGCGACTGCAGACCGTCCAGCCCTCGCAACCCTGAAACCCGTCCAGTCCCATGAGCAGGAAGGTCAATTCAACAAGTTTAAGTCTTTGAACGTGTCCCACTTCTCATTCATTTTGAATGTGGTGACAGTAAATCCCAATATTATACAAACTGATTCATAAAAAAGGCTGTCACAAATCAATTTTAAATAAAACAATTCTGGAGATTGGACGTCGCAAATGCAGACGTTTTCCTTATTCTGTGGCAGAGGTTTACATCATTTCTGCCTTTGAGCTCATAAACACATAATGACTGCTCGTACATAAAGACCCGCTGTACAGCTTGGAATCCAGAGAAAAGCTGTTAATAATGCAGCTCAGGTGGAAGCCTGATGCTCGCCCTTAATTACCGGTGTCTGGCTTCTCCTCCTGAGTCATGTAACAGATGATTTCACTACATGAGTGCACTAGCAATAAAAACAAAATACTTTTAAAAATGGACTTTCAAATGTTGAAAGGCTTCAGTTGTGTGACTGATCCATGCAGAGCTTTCAATGCATTTCCAGTTTAACTAAAGCAAATTAGAAAAACTGACAGCTTCAGGTCCCCGCCCTGCTCTGGGCAGTTACCCAGACAAAAACACACAGACTGACCCGCTCGCTCATTCGAGATGACTGGGAGCGCAGATCTGAGAAGTCTATGGCTGTGTCGGGCAGAGGCACCATACCTGGACACACAGACACATTCATACAAACCATCGAAAACATCAGCTTAAAAGTTTGGGAATGAAAGAATGAAAGGGTTCTCAAACAGAGAAATTCCAACAAATTTTCAAAAGAGAAAAAGCCGTCTTATTCCAAAGGAAAAGGACAGGAAGTCTGACTGCTTGGAAAGAGTGAAATCCTCCATTTTAACCTTTCAAGTATAAAAGTAATCAAGAGTAAAATATCTTTTCACTTAATCAAATCATCAGTTTTACCAGAAGTTGTTAAAACCTCAATTACTGCATTTGTTTCTAAGAGACTCTTCTTTAAAAACATATATAATAATAATAAAGAGGCATTTTAATCTTCTAATATGAAGCAAAAAGACAAAACATGGACAGACGACTCATTTCTTAGGTTTTTACAGACCAGGATCGGAGAAGACAGCTTTGGAGTGGCAGGCCAGCAGCAGCAGCAGAATCAGGTTGAACACGGACCCATGGAGCGTGCACCACACACTGCCAGAGGAGCGGAGGAGGATGTCATGTTCTATAACAGCTCTATTTCTGATCTTATATGAAATATGTCTGTAGGTGTTCTTATTGGAGAAGCTTCAAAAGAATCCCACTCTGTCGATTTGACCTGCTAATTTCTTCACTAACAGACCAAAAAATGTACAACCAACCCTAAAAGGCTAGAGCTTTACTCTTCAATTATATTCAGTTATATGAATGCAAAGGATAAACAAAGCAGGGAAATAAAATGATCAACACAATTTAATCCAGTTGTGCTCAGATGATTTAGTCTATTTTGCTCGTTATGTTTTATTTACTTGTCATTGTGGGCATTAAAGAACCACAGACTTGCCGCACTGATGTCATCATTGCTTTGTTATGACACCAGCTTCTGCGTTCTATATTCTATGTCACACATATAATAAAGAGCATACAGTGTAATCTTTAAATAGCAAAGTTATTTTAAAAAAACAGACAAAAAAATATTTAAACAAAAGAAAAACAGTGAAACCTTGAAGCCGAAAAACAGCTGATGGATTGTTTTTGTGTTTCTGAGATCATGACAAAAAATGTCACGCAGAAACATGAAAGCGTTAAAATACATTTGAACAAGTGCTACTATGAGAAAGAAAAAGTTATTTTCTTGCGTATTCCTGAAAAGGAGAAGAAGGTATTAGGATGCTAACAGACCTATTTGCTGTCAAATGAATGAAGGCAGCGCAAAGAAGCTGGCGTCATGGCGGATTTAATTGATTTTAGCAGCATTTCAACACACAGCACTAACCTGTCAGAGTAGGCCGGGATAAGGACATACTGTATGACCACATAGTCCGCGTAAAAGACGCTGAAATAAGTTAAAATCAGGCAGATAACCCCGCAGGGATCTCGCCTACAGCGTAGGGAAGCCATCTTCTGCTGGGCTCCGCCCCCAATCCACCGCTTCCGGGTGACGTCAGACAACAACCTGAACATATTTTAAAGGGCCAGTCAATCAATAACTAGCGATGTAGTTTAAAGAATAACAAAAAATACATAAAAATAAATGGAAATACTCTGCACATAAAGATCTAACGGCGTGAGTTAGTTTTTATTTTAAGTTAATCGTTTTTATTAGGTTTAAAACACAAAACAGTAAAAGCAAAACCTCGAACATCAAATGAGCAAGCAAAATGAATCTTTGAGTCCTAGGTGATTGGAAAGAAGGGTTTTTTTCTTTAGAAAAACTATAGGGAAAATATCAACCCGAAGGTAAATTTAGCTTTGAATAGTCTACTTTTTTTTAGACTTTTATGTAAAGCACTTTGTGCACGAATTGTGTCATGCAAACACATTTGCCTTTCATTTTACTTTCGATATAAACTTTATTCTATGTTTTGACAGAAAGACTCACAGGGTGGCGGTAGACATCTTTACGTACAGAGCTGAGCTGCACACACGGTTGCTCCTCCCTGAAGTGGGCAGTAACCAGCTCGTCATCCCCGTTTGCTCAACAGTTCTTTTTTTTTCCACACCGAAGACTCTGTCACACTCCGTGTTTGTGGTCCGGCGGCCGTTCGAGACTTTTGCAAACTACTCGGCCTCACAGTTGGACATATTCCTTCAACTCGAGGCCAAACCTGTTGGTTTTCTTAAGGGAAAGTTCGGCGAACACGCTCCAACTGGAGGCAAAAGAAAACAGGGAGTCGAAGAAGAAACACAGAGACCTGGAGGAGGAAAAGGGCGTTCATACTTCGAAGTAACCATGGAAGTTCCTGGTATGCAGGTAAGTGCAAAGGTGGACGCGGCGCTTGTTTTTCACCGTCGGTTTGGGCGTTCGTCGGCGGGAGCGGGGCTAAACTCCAGCGGGGGGGCGGCCGAGAGGAGACTGCGGGGTTTACAGACCGTTTTTCGATCAGTTTAAAAGCCATTACCTGGAGACGTAACGTCCCTGAGTATGCCCGTGTTCACATGAAGCGTACCTCCGCCTGCGCAGCCCCCGGGAGCAGCTTCTTATGCTAACACGAACTCACCCCACAGACTTTCTTTTGGTTCCTCAAGTTCACGAAACGTTTTAGACACCCTGACAGTGTTCGAACGGAGACTTTTTCGTGGTTGTTGTTGTGGTCTCCCATTGCGTTGACCTGGGTGCTTAGCATGAAGTTAGCATTTGGCTTATAAAATGTACAAGAATTCAGTTTGTGTTGACTTTTAGAGTTGTGGAGGTGGTGTGTTTTCTAAGGATAGTAAAGGGGGGTTCCTGTCGGGCCTCCTGCTCCATGTTAATTTGTTTTGTTTGAACTAAATGGCAAGATTGGATACTTTTAATAATCATTCCTCTCCAGTTCTAGACTGAAAGTGGCGTTTCAGTGCTTTAAAATGATGGTGTTTACTTCTGTTCTGAAGTTCATACACAGTTTAAAAGTTCTCTAATGCCTTTAGTGTTTGACTATCTAAAGATTTACCAGTCATTTTACACAGCTAATTTATGTAATGTAAGTTTTCAAGCTTTTCTTCTGTCTTCATGTTGTATGACTAGTATTGTGTATTGGCGCTAAGGTCACATCGTGACACATTAACACTTTGTATTTTATTTTTAGCTCTGATATGATCAATTTTTTTTTATCAGCTGAATGACACGGGCTGTTGAAAATACTGGGTGTAACGGCTGTGATTAACCTGCTTCGTGTTCCTGTTGTCCAGCAGCGAGCTTTACTGTTTTAATTGGACCTCCTGGGAATCGTTCGTATTTATATTTTTCACAATTTAAAATAGGAAACTGTGGTATTAACTCTGAATTTCCTCTAAAAGTGTAATTAAAAGTTATGCCAGTGTTTTCCTGGAGTGAAAAGGTGTGCTGTGAGCAATAGAAGTACGTCGGAGCCTCCCGTTCGGCCGATTTCCAGGTGTGTGTACCTGTGGGACCTGCTCTGACCCTCCCGGGTGGGCGTGCCGGAAGTGTTGTCAGGCAACAGATCACACACCTGCCAGCCGGCAGCACACGCCGCCGTTGCCATGGCTTCCGTCCATTCAGGCGTGGAGCAGTGCGTGGTGTGGACCGGGACAACCTGACTAACTGTTTTGGAGCTCTTGCAGTAATTAAACAGTGGGTTTTTCGTATATTTTTGAGCTCAGATGTAAGGTGCTGCATTGTGTTTGTGACTGTAAGAACGCCTCTGCGTGCTTCCAGTGTTTAAACCACTGCATGATTTCTGTTATTCTTACTCAGCTCATTCTAAATTTGCAGTTGAAGCAATCGCAGACCGCAGCGAGGTTTCCTCATCCTGTCAGAGTAGTCTTTTTCATCCACCCTTTTTTTATTGTATAACTTTAATTTTTGTCTGAAAGGCATTGTTTTAGGTCTGATTAAGAGACTGGAGCTAAAGCCTTGATTGTGTATTGGATCGATTTGTTTTCAGTCTAAATAGCAGAACTGTTTTAGAAGTTGTTCACAAAGTACAAAAGAAAGTCTAGATTTTTTATATTGCAAAAATAATCCTTTTTTTTGCGATGGCTCATACAATGGTCTTTACAAACATACCTGCTCACACATTCTTTCACACTATTCTTCCTGTTATTGAAAGGCTTGTGAAGTGTGCGACTGGTTGCAAAAGTCAGGAGTTGCAAAATGGACCAAAGTGACCCTGCAGGGCCCGAAACATCAGGCATTGTGATGCAAGTTTGAGATGATCCCGTACACTTGGCGCTAAGTTGCTCTAAGTGATTAAGTTGGTGGCTAAAAATGGAGCAGCACTTTGTCTGAGGGTGAGCCAAAGTCCCCACGAAATTGGCAGAGAGGGAGCATGCTTTATAGTGATGTCATCAGCTAAAGAAAGCAAAGCCTGTTTCTCCAGCAAGGCCTTTCAGGAGTGTTTGCTCAGTGGTTGGACTGAGACTGGACTGTGGGGCTTGTAACTTCTTAGAACATTTACACGGACAAGATGTTCTATAAGGAAAGGGAGAAACAAGGAAAGGGAGAAATCACACAGGAGTAAAACGGGAGGGAGAAAAATGTCTGAAAACGTCTGAAAAGCCTCATGTCTACCTCCCTGGAGGTTTTTGTTTCAGCCCTCGGTGAGAAACTTCTGCTTTGGGGAAACAGAGCCGTGTCGACGGCTGGCTCTGGACTTGTTTACTGAATTTCTGCCATTTCCAAGAAACTTTACATGAGGCAGAAAAAATGGGCTTGGTGTAATTTCCCCAGCTGACCCCGTTATTTCTAACGCATTTACTGTCCGTCATAAAGGCGCTCATTGTTTGACTGTAACATTTGCCGCCTCAGGCTTCCCTTTGTCGTTTTGGCTTTTTTCAGTGGTTTCCACTGCATGCCTTCAGCTCTGCAAACATATATGTATATATTTATTTTTTTATGTGAGGAATCCAAGTGAAGAAAAGCAGTAAATATGTAACTTTTGAGCACAGTACATGGATCATGACGATGACCCCCTCAGTCAGGGTCCAATCAGGTCAAAACCACTTTGGTCCAGGCTAAAATTGTGAGAAGGATGGTCATGAAAAACACCAACAATAACACAGTTTGAAAGACTTTGAGATTTCTGAAAGCAATGCCTGGAGAAAAAAACACATCAGTTCAGACAGCCGACACATGAAGCAAAGAAACGGAAAGAAGTGGATGTCAAAAAAAGAGAGGTTTGGGATGTTCTATGGGAAAAGGCTTGAGAGCTGCTGTCGAGGACTGAGCCACATCTTGTTTATCCACAATCACACACAGAAGCCTCTGAGCTGGACGGTGGCCTCTGAACGCTTCTCAAACTGCCAACTGCATCACAGAAGAGACCAGATGCTCTCTCTCAAGCAAGGAAAGAACTAAAGAGCACACTGTTATCCCATCTCTGAGCCCTCGCTGCTGTCTCTGCTTCCCCTTTGGGTTCTAAAGATGAATCCACAATATTGAATGTTGTGGATCATGTCCAGTCCCTGAGAAGATTTTGGTGATCAGTTAAGCTGAGGCCTTTAGTCTCCAGACCACAGTTTTAGTTTCTGATTTATAACTAAATTGAACAAAAGTCCTCATCAAGTTGATGATGCACGAACTGATGGCAGGAGGCATATATTTAACAGAAGTTGGTACGTCTCCTCTCTGAGCCCCTTTTGTGTTCCATACTTGATTTTCTGACCTCTCTTAACTTTTAAGTAAATAAACAAATAAGTAGAAAGCCCACTTCCCGTGGAGCTCCGGCGGGGGCTCGGCTCTTAAGTTTCAGCCAAACTTTCCCGCGCTCCACTGCTGAACCCTCCACTCGTAATCCGGCCTGATTCCGGGGCTGTGGTGTGGACGGACGGGCGAGAGTGGAGCGCTTTACACGATGGCCGGCACAGCTGTGGGAACATCCTGAGGGGGTGGGGGGGGTTCAGGTCTTCTCCACGTCTTTTTAAGGGTTTTGCCTATGCAGGGCCGCTTGCACAATTCCAGGGACCAGCGTCTGTGTGTTTGATGGGGAGAAATTAGCCAGCTGCCAGCGGGTTTCGATTACAGAGGCTGAGTCAGTTTCTCTGAGGAATCACGCAAGCAAAGTGCGTTTTCACACGTGTGCAGTCGTGACTTGACCTGGCTTGTTTATGCCAGCTTTTTTTTCCAGGGTAGGAGGTGACTACACAGGTTGCTCCTGTGGGGGCGGGGCCGGACTCCAGACATTAAAACGGGCAGTGTTGCTTGTTCTGTCCAGTCTTCAACATCCCAGTGAACTGGAACGGGTTACACTTGAAATGATCTCTGTTTCTGAGTGGGAGTGGGCCTGTGACATAGCTGTGCTGTGGTCGGCCGAAGTTCATCTGTTCTTTCTCTCCTGGCCCATCAGTCCCAGTCTCTGAGCCTCCACATGAAATTTATTCACCTGTGAGCAAGAGGCTTCGAAGCCTGGAATCCAGCTTCCATCCACTCGTAAATAGGAGATCCTAACCAGTCATCTTCATTGTTCTACAGGACTGTAACTTTCTCACATGGTTTTTACGCAAGGTTCAGTCTTGAATTTATTTTTTAAGAGCTCAAAAGTTAGAAATGTATGGGTCCAAAATTCACGCATTCAGTGTGGATCTATTTTAGATTGGCCGTAATGGTCTGGTTGTTTTGTGTCTCGGAGGCCTTCTCTAACCTTCCACTCAGATGTTTAAACATTGCTTTGCACAGAACCAGGTGCCAAACCATTAACCATTAACAGGTAAACTGAGTTATCGTTTACCCAGCTATGAAAGTCTATCACTTCCTGGAACAAAGAAAATAAAACACTCTTTGCATCACTTTAAAGTGAAGGTTATTGATGCTAAAAACGGATTAGAAAATACGATTAGAATGGTTCAACAAAATGAAATAAACACAATCAACGGTCTGCTTTGTTCAACTGGAACCCATTTTCTGTGCTGTAATCTCTGACTTTTACAGACAGGTATGGTGAAAACTGAATGAAAAAAAAAATCAAATTTTGTCTATAGATTATGTTCCAGAATCGTTACTAACCAAACTCGAATTGACCCTTGTATTTATTGCTCTGTTTTTGAATTCTACTTTACTTTGAGAGTCAAACCTCCACGTCTATTTTTTGAAACAGTGATCAGTTATATTTTCTAATCAGTCAGGATCTCACCTCGTGTGGTGGAGCTGACTTAGAGGGGACAGGAAGTGTTAAAAAGTGGTGAGAGGAGTCTCCTCCACAAAGGTCATATTTTAGAATGCTGTGCTTTTACTTCCTCTCCCAGCAGCTGTGACCCTCCACCTCTGAAACACACACATGTGCTTTCAGGGGAGGTTTTTCGGCGATTTGTTGTTATTTGGATGTGGACTTCTCTTGTTCGGTGATTCTCCCGCACGCCAACTTTCCACAGCCTTGTCCAAAGTTTCCTGGCCAGCTTCATGTTTACACGTTCGACAGACCAGACCGAGTTCACCGACCTCTAAAACCAACTTGCTCTATCTCCTCTTGCTCTCTCTCTCTCTCTCTCTCTCTCTCTCTCTCTCTCTCTCTCTCTTTTTCTCTTTCTCTGTTTGCTTTGTTTTGACCTGAATTTACACGTTTATCTGAAAAATGGTGAATGCTAGAAAAAAAAGCAGACATTTCCATGCAAAGATTCTCAAGTTATGTTTGATATTTTTTGTACATTTTTCATTTTTTCCTTGTTTGTGTATTTTTTAAAATTTATTTCCTCTATTGTTTTTATTTTATTTTATTCATTCCTTTTTCTTATTTTCCCATGAAATCCAGAATTGTCATCCTGATTGCTTCTGTACAATATATGATCAGTCTGTCTTTATGCCTGTAGGGGAAAAAGTGTTTTAAAAAAGCTCTGTTCATTGTTATTTAAACTTGGATTAAAGTTTAAACACTCACATAAAATGATACAACTCTCTTTTTACTAGAACAATTTGAATCGCAAGAACTTTGAGCTTTAGTTCTTAATATGCAAACACTTCAGACTTTACTTAAACCCTTTCAATATTTGCCCTTAACAATGTGTCACCAGTGTGCATTTACAATGCCACAAACAGGAGGTGACTACATTTTGATGATGAAAAGGAAATGGATGCATGTATGAATATCAAAATAAACGATTAACGATTAAAGGTCATAAAAAACTCAAACTTACGACTAAATTCTGTCAGAGTAAAGGGGTCCCTGTGATAGCATTCAGCATCATCCTCTAATCTGAGATTTTTCCACCAGAGTTAACAGACGGATAAAACGCTGATATACCCTTACTCATGGACTTCCGTTAAGGCAACATAGTTTAATAACAGTTAAAAAATGAGTAGATGCAAAGTAATCAAAAGCACACTTGAGATATTTTCTCTCTGCATAAACATGAAAGCTGTATAGAAACTGGGTTTGTTTGCATTTGTGTCGTTTTTCATGACGAACTGTTGAGCTGATTCGAAAGATCCCAGAATGACTTTCTAACCAGGTTCTCTGTGAAATATTAACTGTAAATGTTCCTGCAAATCTCAGAGCCGGGGAAGTGAGCATTATGTAAGAAAAAGAGCAGATGATGAGTAATGACTGAGCCACTGTTTAATATTTAATTCCCTTGACCTGGCACGCAGATATTGGATTTTTTGGACCTCATTGCCCGCATTGTTACAGCCCAATAATAAAGTCTGCGGGGCCTTTGTTTGTTAGGTAAAGTCCTATTTATAGTGCTTTCAGCCCCTGCTCCCTTTGCTCAGGTGCTCTCAGCTGCTGGCTCTTCGCATCGGGTGGGTGTTTCACATCCCTTTTTTTCCTGGCGTTACTTTGACTTTCGAAAACTGAAGTCTGCTGCCCCCACATGTAAAGCACTCTGGTCGACATGGTTACACACCAAACGAGATGGTGCGTAAAAGGCTCCGGCCCCAGACGCCAGATGCTGCTCCTGTAATCAAGAGGGGGAAAAAAATGGTCGAGGGCGCAGAGTGGGAGAGAAAGCCGCCGTCTGTGGAAAAGTTTTCTAAGAAAAAAAAAAGTTTATTGCACCACCAGAGCTGACACTAGTCCTGTATTTAGTCTTTATTCAGTCTGCTGGAGCCGGCTGCCTTCTGAGCTCAAAAATAGCCATTTTACGTTGTTCCTAATTTTACCAAAACTCTACAGAGAATACCTCAGTAGCATTTAATTCCAGAATAAAACATGTCTTAAAAAATGCTTTTGCATGACTTTAAAGATGCTATCCTGCAGCATCCCGTGCACGGTGTGCACGCCGGTCCCTGTGTTGCCGTGACGGGCTTTGATTTTTATTGTCCTGAGAGGCCCTGTTGCCAAACACAGCATCTCTTTTATTCTTTGTGGATTTGCCGTCTCTTTTCCCCTTTTTCCTTCATGGTTTTGTGCGGAGCTGAAAATATCAGACAGTGAGCGCTGTGTTTGCTCACAGGGTGTGGCCACTTTGTGGGCACTGTGTGTGTCTGTATGTGTTCTGTTTTTAGCTTGGAAAGGAAACTCGAGCAGCATCATAGGAACATCATATGCTTCTGCGAGGGTGTTTATTAAATGCTCTTCTGCCAGTTCTTTGAGTTTGAGGAGAAAATGGGCGCGTGCGTCAGGAAAGGTTCCGCATGCTGAGGAAAGTTTAAACTCCGAGCACCTCAATGTTGTTATGTGAAAGTTAGGGGGCCAGAACAGAAAAGGGTTGTGGACAGCTATTGCCAAGAAACAGCGTTAATCCCTGTAAATGATGTCAGAAAATATTAGTTGAGATAAAAAAAAATTAAAAGAGGGGAATCCACAGAAGGAGTCAAAGCAGCTTAAAGTAGGCAAAAAGGGGAAAAAAGGTTGGGAAGGATGGAGGTGAAGTTGTCAAACTTGATTTATTTATAAAAGCCGTCATCTTTAACTAGAAACCTAAAAAAGAATGTCTGAGTCTCCCACCAGGCCGACGACTCAGCTGTCGGATAAGAACAGATCCCCCACAGGTTTGACCTCAGCACCGTGGAGTTCTGCTTGATGCTTTTAAACACATCAGATGGCCAGATGGTACCAAAGACATCCTCCTGCTCGGCTAATGCCGTGGCATCGTAAACGCGAGCGTTAGCGTAGCCCAAACTTGATGATTTGAACTATTTTGACCGTCTGAGTGCATCTACTATTTGTGGATTAAGTACCAGGATGTTTGAGCCATTTTTCTCCAAATGAATACAGTTTTAAGTAATTTCTTTCACTAAAGCATAATCATTTTTAAAAAAGTAATTAAGGTTTTTATTAAGATTCTTCTTTACAAATTTTTCTTTACAGACTAATAAAATAATCTTTTATATATGTGGAACTTTAGTATGATCGCTGCACTGAGATATCAACAATTTATTATCATATTCATGTTACAACAGGGATTATTTTATTGGAACTATCCAGCGCAAATTCTTTAAGGGATTTGTCAAGACAAGAAAGCTAAGGAAGACGGAAAAACATGACATTTTTTAACTCCTCTGTGTATCAACAACGACAGCGGTTGCATTTAGGATGCGAGCAGGGTCCCTCAGATAAGTTTAGTGTGTGTGCACACAGCTGTGTGTGTGTTCAGTTCCTGTTATCTTTAACTGTCATGCTTGTTTCCTTCTGCATTTTATGGCTTTTTTTTGTGCGATAGCTTTGTGTTGCACAGCCTCACATGTGCGCTAATGGGAATGTGAACCCTTTTTTTCTTTTTTCTTTTTGTTTTCAGCTACTTGGTGATGTAATAGTTCAGGTTGTATTTCCTTGATTACTTAAAACATCTTTTTCAAGGGAAATTGAATTGTTGGTTATGTGTTTTAAGTGTTTAAAAAGGTTTAAAAAGGTTAAAAAGGAAAAGATTATGTAAGGGTTGGAAAAAGGTAAACCTCTTTGTGGAATGATTAAATCACCAGCTTAAACCTGTTTGATAAGAATCTTCTTGGAGGAGAAATTGGTGAAACAGTAACTACATGGTAACAGGACAAATGAGATGTGAAAACTCCACTAACTCTGGCTCCAGAATATGATTTTCCACATTTGCTTAGTGACAGCAACCAATGAGAGGAAGCCTCTAACCTGCTAACCTCTGCTCTCTGGAGGGAGCAGCTTTTTGTCTGTGCTGAGTCACAGCAGAGAGGGAGAGGAAGTGGGAGCCAGAATGCTGTATTTGTTCAAAAGTTTAAATCCATCTTCCTGCATTGATTGTTCAGTACTTCAAACTGCTTAATTCTTGTTACTTATTGACAACAAAACCAGCTGATCCTTTACTGGCTGCCTTTGATTGAATGCAGAGATGACATCATATGTTATAATTCATTCCTCCTTTCTTCCTGCTCCTCTCAGAGTTCTCAGATTGATCCAGAGGAATTATTCACCAAATTGGACCGAATTGGAAAGGGATCTTTTGGAGAGGTGGGCGAGTTTTTATTTCACACTCTGAGCTCCATTAACTTTGACTTTATTGCATTCAATGTAATGACGTGATTATTTTCTGTTCTGTCGTTCTCCCTAAAAACTCTTTTTCATCGTCTGCAGGTTTTCAAAGGTATCGACAACCGCTCCCAGAGTGTCGTCGCCATTAAGACAATTGATCTGGAGGAGGCAGAGGATGAGATTGAGGACATCCAGCAGGAGATCACAGTGCTCAGTCAGTGTGACAGTCCATACATCACAAAGTACTACGGCTCCTACCTGAAGGTAAGAACCCATCGGGCCAGGCCGATCCGAGGCACAGTTTTAGGATGTAGAAGTGGAAACAGTTCCGAGCCCTTCCGTTTGAAAGAATTCAATTTATATTTTTTAAAGACGACAAAAACAAAATGGTGTCTCTTTCAGGGCAGCAAATTATGGATCATCATGGAGTATCTTGGTGGAGGTTCAGCGCTCGACTTGGTGAGTGATGTGGCAAATTATCAGCTTAGTCAGGGCTTACCGGTAGAATAAACTCACCAGATAATTAGCAGTCATTTGATGGCATTTTTAAAAAGGCTTTGCTTTCTTCCCTCTTTAGTTAAGCCAGCACTATTATCAGACATCCATATGAACACCTAACTGCTGTTAATGTTGATGTAAACTCTGAGTTACTCAGACTGTGTTATGTTCTGCCATTAGGCTTGTTTGAAGCTGCATCAGGTGTGTGTTGCTAATTTCCCTTTGTTTTTGTGCGTGTGTGTGCACGCAGCTCCGGGCGGGTCCGTTCGATGAAGCTCAGATTGCCACCATGCTGAAGGAGATCCTGAAGGGGCTCGATTACCTGCACTCGGAAAAGAAGATCCACAGAGACATCAAAGGTAGGGTACGGCTGTAAGACCATTCAACACTGCAAAGGTGCTAATTTAGATTGCAAGAGATAAAATAGTTGTAGCATAGAACTGTCAAGACTTGCATGGAGTGTGGCCGGAAAGGTCTAACGTGTTTTACTGGAATTCATCTGAGCTATAAATGTCTGATATTTGTCAACGGCTTTAGCCGTGCTGACATCCAAATTACTGAGCTGGACAAATGTGGTGGAAATATGCAAACAAAAAAGAAAGAAAATGAGGTTGAGAACAAGTGAACAAGTGATAAAAATGAGGGAGTGAGTAGATTCTACCTTTCTAAAGGAGACCCACTCCAGATGTTAAGTAAATAGTGGCTCGAAGCCTGATGTGTACCTCTGGAAACACTCTGTGACCTCCAGCCCCTCAAATCCCAGCGTAAGCCCCACCAAGAGTAGCACAGGATGCACCCCGGGGGTTTACAACACAGCCAGATTAACGGCTTAGTGAGGTATGTTGAGTTGAAAGTCAGAGTTTTGGGGGTCACAGGGGCGCCTCTCTCTTAACCTGCTGGATCACCGCAGTGACTTTGTCTGAAGTCAGCTCCATCTTATCACCGCTTCCCCTCCTGTGATGGCCCTCTTTGAAATTTTATTTTCAACCCATTTATTGAATTAAAGCACTGATGTTTAACACAAGTGAAACTGAAAAAGAAGTTTAGAGAAAATCTTAATTTTTAATAAACTGAATAGTGTTGTTGAGAGTGCCGGTCATCCCATGTAAACAAATAACCTCTAACTTCTTGTAATGTGAAGCTAAAAGTCCCAGCGCAGAGTGAAATGTGCTTTTACCCCTGCAGCCGCCAACGTCCTGCTGTCGGAGCACGGTCAGGTGAAGCTGGCTGACTTCGGAGTGGCCGGTCAGCTGACAGACACGCAGATCAAAAGGGAGACCTTTGTGGGAACGCCGTTCTGGATGGCGCCCGAGGTCATCCAGCAGTCCGCCTACGACTCAAAGGTCATTCACCTGTTCAGACACCTCCTCTGTCCCCTTTAGCCCCCCCGGTTTTTAGCCTTTCCTTTTTTTTTTGGTTTCTAGGAAATTGGGAAGTAGATGTAAACATAGAGTGAAATGTACTTCATTAATCCTAATACTGGTGTTGATTTATTTTCCCAATTTTAAAAGTAGATGCTATGATCGCGTTGTTTTCTTTCACATGTTTGTCAGAAGATGACTTTGTGGGAATAATAATTATCCTCTGATGCGGTTTCTGCCGTTGAACTTCACTTTTGTTATCTATTGTCTAAAAAGGAGAAGTCTACTTTACTTCTGACTAAAATCAAAGGCCTATTGTTGCACAAATACCTCACCCGCCTAAATACTGAGCTTTTGTTTATTTGAATTGATGATATATGCCCGTCCTTCCGGGGCTCCATAACACTCGGTGAAGTCTTTCGGACCCACTCTTTAAAGCACATCTAAAAATACAGCTTACATCTGTGAGATTTACTTGTTGCTGGCAGGTATTTTGCATATCGCTGTAGCAACCTGAAACACGTGGGCCTGTTGTTGTGCCTGCCTTTTGACTTCGTTTGCATTCTTGCCCCGGTCGGTTTTATTTGACTGCGAGAGCGAGGCTTCAACCGCCCTGTTGTCTGGCTGCATTTGATGTCCTTTGTTTCAGGCGACGACATGACGAGCATCTGGTTTTTCCGGTTTACTGGGATTCCCTCATCGGTCTCGTTTTTGTGTTTGACTCTCAGCCAGCAGCCTTGCAAACAAACACCGGCCCTTTTTTTAAATTTTTTTATTTTATTTAATTTTTTTTTATTTTTTTATTTTTTACAGTCGATGAACTACAGCAGCTCGGGCAGATTTATGAGGCTGGGCTTGTGCTCCGAAGTGAATCCCTGCTTTTCATGGCCAGTAATAATATAAATAAACATAAAGAGTTTAGATCCCGGGGTAATGTCGGAGCCGTGTGGGTGGGTTGTCTGGAAGCTGGTTAAATCCATCAGGGTGTGTGTACGTTGTCATGCCGTGTGGCGTGAGCTCATGTTGTGCTTAATGAAAATTAAATGTTGGTTTGTGTGAACTTTGCCTGCCACCTCTCAGGCTTATCGACAGGTGACCTTTTAGATGTATTTATTCCCGTTAATCCTTGTCAATCATGTAATAGCAACACTTGCTAATGGTGGCTAAAATCAGTGTCTTTTTATTTGTTTATTTATTTTAATCCCTTTGTAATGGGGAAGTGACTAATTGTAACCTCTGAACACAAACCCCTTTAGCAAAGAACAAACACAACCCTCAGAGTTAAGCAAAGAGAAGCCGGCCCTTGTGCTAAAGTCAACACCCCGGGTGTGAACGCCTGTCGCCCTATTTCACACCCCACTGCTAACCTGTTTTATAAAGTAGGTTCTGTGCCATTTTTAAATATGGCCCATTTGGGCTCAAGCCAAAATATCCTCTCATCTACCCATCTCCCAAAACCAATGAGCTCTTCCACAGGTTCTAGGGCAAAGTCCATCAGTTTGTACCAATATGAGGATTCCCCTCAGCTCCACATCTTCTCAGTTTGTAGAGATGGAGTAATGAGTTTGTGTGTGCACGTTTTTGTGCGTCTGTATGGTGAGCACATGCTGCCATATGGTGGGTGGGTAACGGTAATGGAGCTGGCAGAGTTAACAGTCAAACAGTAACCGAGCATCCTGTTGTAATGTGACCCTGAGCACCTCGGTTTTTTGTGTGTGTGTACGTGTGTGTGCGTGTGTGATAAAGAGAGACAGAGCTGCTGTTTGATCTTTTAGTCAGCCGACGCACAACTGTTAAGGAGCAGCTGCTCCCTGTGTGTTTTCCACACCAGCTAATGTGTGTGTTGGTCTGTTGTTGGTTTGCTTTTGATGCCCAGAAAAGAGTGCAGACTGTGTAGGGAACAGGCAAACCTACGGTTGGAACAACGTCTGAGAAGATGAACCACTTTCTGACTGATGGTTGGCAAACTTCTGTTTGAATAACATTTGCTGAATCTGCTCTGTAAAGACATGTTTATGTATTTTCATTGATCACGGTCATTGAAAAGAAGATGGACACAACTACGTCCCTTTTGACCACAGGTCCTGAGCTCTTTTAATATGTTTAGCACATTTTTCCAGCGAGAGATGAGACATTGTAAATAATCTAGGAAACTGGCCAAACCGATACCCCCCGGCTTCCATCTACAGTTCATCCCAAGATGTCTCTGTTAAGCTGTCCATTAATGAGTCATGCTAAAACTTCACTTCATTAGAGCAACGCACAGATACAGATGCTCAAACCAGCCTGCAGCAAGTCTGCTGGTGAAGAATGCTCACATCGTAATTCCTCCATCCTGTCAGTCACATGAACTCTGTGTCTGCGCTGCTCCGTGTGTCACTGACATATTTTCAGCTTTCAGGGTTACGTTTCTCAGGTGAGCCGGCTGGATAATCATCCTCTGTATGTCTGGACTCACTGAATAATACAATCTCAAACATAGAGGGTTCCACGGGCATGTTTGGATCAAGATTTCTCTGAGTTTTTGAGTTCTATGTTGCCTCTTAAAGGTTCGAAGCAGAATCGCTGCACACGGGGAGATTCATCCATCACTAGTTGAAATGCAGTTACAAGAGCTGACTTACGGGGTACATGAAGTAAAGCATTCACAGAGGGAACTGAATGTGCTGGAAGAGGATTGAAAGTGAAACGTCACAGAGAGCGATGTTCAGGTGTCTGAACACGGACACTGAAACTATGAATGTCTACTCGGCCAAAGTACTCCAGGCGCTCGTGGCAAACTTTTTTTCTTTTTAAAGTCACAGAGGCATTGTGTGTTTGCACTGGAAATAGGAATGCGGAGAACAAAGAACACAGGTTGTTAGACCTTTAGCCTATAAATATATATATTAGGTGTGCTTTGGTGTCACTGTGAGTGAGGCTGGCGGAAAACCACCCCCCTTGCATGACACAGGGAAATGGCATGAGTTTCCTCGATGCCAAAACTATTTTCCGGCCCAGCCAGCACATGTAAAAAAAAAAACGCACTTTTACACTTTTCTGTGATGTAGTTATCCTCTCGTGTACATAGCAAGTCAACAAATGGCATTTTAACGGTTGCTAAACAGATCATCGACTAAATCTGATCAGATTATCAATTAAACTTTAGTTCCTTATCATTTTGAACATTTGGTCTTTGGACTGACAACAGAAGTACATCATTGGTTGCTGATCACATGCTTTGTGTTCCCGCAGGCGGATATTTGGTCACTGGGCATCACTGCCATTGAGCTCGCCAAGGGGGAGCCCCCCAACTCTGACATGCATCCGATGCGGGTCCTCTTCCACATCCCCAAATCTCCCCCTCCAACACTGACCGGAGACTTCAGCAAGGGCTTCAAAGAGTTCACCGAGGCCTGCCTCAACAAGGACCCCTCCTTTGTAAGACACCCAGCTGAAAAGCTCCTTTACTGAGTTTAATCTGGCCGCTCTTCACTTAACAACAAGTCTCACCGCCCCACTCATGTGACAGCTGTGGTCACCAGCCTCTCTTCTGAGATAGCAGTGTGTCACATGGAAGAGACATTTCCCCTCAAGTTCCATCAAGCTGTGTGCTCATCATCCGCTCTATTTGAAAGACAAACGCTACATGGGGTCTCCTCTTGATTTATCTCCCATTTTTAGCCTCAAGTTTCAAGTGTTTTTTTGCTGTTGATTTAAAAAAAAAAAAACAATTTTTTTTTTTTTTTTAACTGCACTTTTAAAAGATAACTAACAAATTAAAAAATTTTTAGTGACACTTACAGTTGTAGCATTGCAGCCAAAATAAAACGCTTTGCATTGGTGTAGTGCTGTTTATACCCTTATGAAACGCAGTGGTTAAACATCACAATCTCTTTCTAAATACCAAGCAAAGTACTGGCATGCGCAGTCTGATTTGCATAGTTACATCTGTTGGATCTATTGGTAATTTTTTCAACATCTCATGCCAAAAATAGCTGGAAAATAATCAACCTTTAAAGGATCCTTGGATGTTCCCAAATGAATGGGTTTCATAAAACTCACTAAAAGATTTTTCACTTCATAAATTCTGAATGTTGTTGACTCATATTTGGACTTTCTTTTTCCTTCTGCAGGTTAGCATAGTTAGATTTTAAGCCCTAGTTGAAATGTGTTGTGGTTTTATTTGATGTATTTATTTGCTTTAGGGCCTTTTATTTTATACAAGCCTAATATTTGAATACCTTTCATTTCCTTTGGGGTTTTTTTTGTTACCACTTGCTGCCATCTAGTGGAAACTTAGCTGCTCTGTTTTCAGCCCCCTGTTTTTTCCCTTTGACTAAAAGGCCAAATAAGCCTTCACCTCCTTTTCCATGTAGAAATCTAAAGATAAGCAAGAGCCCAATAACCTTTCTCTTTTATGTTAAATCTTAAATTTTTGTCTTCAAACTCAGTGATTCGTTTAACCAATGTCGGCAACTGTTCGCTCTGTCGTCACCCAGCGCCCCACAGCCAAGGAGCTGCTTAAACACAAGTTCATCGTCAAAAACTGTAAGAAGACGTCCTACCTCAGCGAGCTGATCGACCGGTACAGGAGGTGGAAGGAGGAGGGACACAGCGACAGCAGCTCCGATGACTCCGACAGGTGATTTGTTTTTGTTCAGCCTCATGTTAGAGGAAGCCTGTGTGAGGACGCATAGTAACGGCTGCCTGTGTGTGAAGTGAATCCAGCAATAAAGAGAACAACGAGTCTCCCGAGTGGTCGTTCACCACAGTCCGGAAAAAGAAGACGGAGGGGAGGAAAGTCCTCAATGGGACGGTGAGTAGCATCTGTTTATCAGCAGTTCTCCTAATAAAGTTGATTCAAACAACATTCCTATTTTATTTATATATCATGTTTACAGGCTCCGGATCAGCTTAGTAAATCTGCCAGTCTGACCACAGTCATCTCTCCTGTCTTCTCTGAGGTTGGCACATACACAAACACACGCACACACACACAGTTATACGTAGCTGTAGATACACTTCCGGTGGATATATCAGTTTACTTTGCCCCACAGTCTCATGTGTGTTCACTGAACACGTCTGTGTGACTGGATCTTGTTCAAAATGCTACAGCCAACCAGTAAAAGCCAATCATTCAGAAACATCTAAAAATTTAAATAAAGATCCTAATTTTCTGATTTTGATCACTCCCTCAGTGATGTAAAGCAGGATATATGTGCATGTCTGTGCTCATTCTAGACAGGTCCATGCTAACTGCAGTGAATATCTTACTGTATGAGCATGCATACATAGAGATGGATGTTAAGCTTTTTCTTCTTTTTTTTTTACTTTGTCAGTTGAAACAGCAGCACAAAGAATACTCCCAGCAACGGTTGGCCATAGAGGAGCTGGAACGTAACATTCGATTGGCTGAAGACACGTGTCCCGGCATCACAGACAGGATGATCACACACATCGTTGCCAAGTACCAGAAGTACGTTCATCCTGACTGTCTGCTGATCTGATCTGATGTGTTGTGGCTTTCCCGGGCATCTCCTCCCGCTTTACTTCTAAATTCCATCCAAGCCTGATCAGCGAGTTTTATCAGCTTTTCATCTCCTTTTTGTGTTTGTGTGTCAGTTTGCTTGGCAAACGTTGTTTCTCCTGACATTATCTCACACACTGTTGCTCTCCTACAGATTCACAACAAACTGAAGGAGGTGAACGGATGAATCAAAGGAAGCCAGGAAGAGACTGTGTCTCCATATGGTGACTGCTGGATGATGAAAAAGGGGAAATTTGCTGTGCGATGTCTCCTCGCTGTACACTCACATCTTAACACACACTCATACACACACACACGCACACACACACACACTTATACACACTAATAATGTAATATATACACTAAATTTTATATATTCACTGCTGCTGGTTGAGCCCACAATTAAATTTGACACACAGCTGCATTTTCAATTAAATAATGAATTTGTCGGAGTGATTGAGAATATCAACATGTGCCTTTTTTTTTTCTTTAGCTAATATTTTCATAAAATGTTTTTTTTTTAGAATCTAAACCAGATACAGGGAATAGTATAATATAATAGAGAGGAGGGTTCTTGTCCAATCAGCAGCGGTAACCTTTGTTTTGTGTTAGGACGTTCTTTGAGTCGGTAGATGTCTGTGACTGTATAGTAGCACTTGTGACAGAATATATGCCAATATTAGATTTATGTTGTTGTTTTTGTTAATGCCGTCTAACTGAAGTTTCCTGATCCAATAATTCTGGCTTACCGCCTCCAAGTGGAGCAGTTTTCACAGAAAGAGCTTAACTTTGTTGTGTGGGTTTGTCGGAGAGGAGATTCTCAGCATTGGTTATGATAAACATTAAAAAAGAAGACAAAAAAACCTTCCCTAACATTCTACAAACTGCAAAATTTCATGTGCAGGTTCACAAAATCCTCTTTTAAAACTGCAGGTGTAGAAATCCTGCCACATTTTTCTTGGGACCTACAAGTTAACTAGTTACACAACTAGTGAACTGACTAGCTTTTGTTTATCCAAAGTAAATGGCATTATGAAAGCCAGGTAGGATTTTTTTTTTTTTTTAAACCTTATCAAGTCGGAACTTTTCAGCTTCAGAGCTACTTGCTCACTAACCAGTGGGCTCACCAGCTAAAGTCCACGGTAATTGTCAAATATCAAATTTATTGAGAAACAATTAGTAAAGTTTTTTTTTTTTTTTTTGGGATGTCTTATTTCTTTGTTTTTTGTGTGTTTTTTTTTAAGAATGTACATTCCTTGGGAACTCTTGAGAGCTGTCAAGTTTCTGAAAGAAGAGTCTAAACAAATACAAATATAAAAGGTAACAAAGTAACAGGTTCTTTCAAAGAGTATGATGGGAGCTGAACTTTAATGTATTGTTGACAGTTTCTACCAAAGACACTATAAGACTTGGTCACTGTATATTTTTGTCTTTTTTTACATATCATAAGGGATATACGATGCTTGCCGAGGGGGGGGGGGGTTGTGAAATCATGGTGTAAGATTTTACAGTAATATACTCATTGTTCTGTGTGTGTTGTGCGTAAAAGTAGCGGGACTTAGAATTTTATGAATAAATATTTAAATTGAACTAAGAAATGTCTTTTGTTTAACCTGAGTATTGGAAAGGGGGAAAAGAAAGAAAATGACCCAGCCATGTGCTGCTTAATGGCTTTAATACAACGGAAACAGCCATGTGAACAAGAACGTTCACTTCTTTTGAATTTGAAGCTTGATAGCAACTCTGTAACCCCAAGTCGGGTTCCTGTAAACATTTATGCCACTTTATGCCTGCTGTGGAAAGGCACACGCACTGAGAGGCAAAGTTCTAGCAATAGACATGAAATTCTATTGCTTAAGGGGGGGCAACTTGTTTTGGTGTGAAATCAAGATATTCTTTTATTACAACTAGCTGACAATAAATACATGAATTAATGTAGGAAACAATAATTTTTTCCCCCCTAAAGTAAACTTTAGTAGACAGCCAGGAAGACTTTTTTCACGTGTTTGTATCAGTGAAAATAATATTTCCTCTGGTGTAACAATGGTAGGTTTTTTTTACTGCTTTTTATACCTTAGATGTACTTCATGTGGTAAAACATAACTTTATACTATTTAATATGACAAAAACAGTTTGACAAAGGCATGATTTGGCATATTCACCAAACAGAATGATTAAAAAGCCAATGCTAAGCTATTTCACACCTTATAATGCTTGGAAAGTTTGCTCTGAAAAGCCCCTTTTCATTATACTTATTAAGTATGATGAGGCGGGCTGTGTGATTTCTTCATTAATTTAGCAGGTTTAAAAGTCTGGAGTTGAATCCTACAGTCCCAAATGTGCACTTTATGTTGCTGTCGTCAGTAAAAGTGAAACATGAAATCCAAACACAGAATGAGCAAAACCTGTATTAACATATTCTGACCAAAATAAACTGGTGGATGATGTCAGAGATCTTTCCACAAAAGGGAAAACCCACTCATCAGCCTTCAGTCAGCAGAAGAGTACTGCAGAGGTAAGGAGATTATTATCCCTGCCCTCATCAAGACAACATTGATAAGGGCAAAATCCTCTCTTAGTTTGGGATCTACTGTCTCTGGCCTATTTGGATATATTGATTCTCCATTTCTTGTTTTCCTGGGTCTGTCGTGTGAAGTCTAAACATCAGGCAGTTTTAGTACTTTTTCTCTTAGATAAAGGCAATGGTTCATTTTAACTGCCCAAACCTTTCTCTATCTATAGTCTGCAGAGGGTGTCATCTATAAAGGACCCCAGCACTGTCTTTATATCTTGAATCCCTTAAATGTTTCGTCCAAAAAATGTTTATCTACAGTGTGACTTGAGTAATCTTTTTCTCCCCTTTTGTGCCCGCTCCACTTGATTCTTTTTTTCCCCGGTTATCCATTAAATGTGTTGTTGAAGTCTCTTTAGCTGCCCCAGCCACCTTTTCCTCTTCCTCCCCCTCTTCCTCCTCATCCAGTTGAAGGCTTCCAGAGGAAAACCTCATCCTGGCTAGTCCGGCCGACCGTACAACCCTTCCCAGCTGAGGGGGCGGGCAGTAATAGGGGTAGAAAACCTCTGGATCAGAGTCGCTGTAGCTTCCCGTGGTGCCACCAATCATGCACACTGACGTGGGCCGTTCGGGCAGAGGGGAGGAGTTGAGTGGGAGATAGGTGGGCCTGGAGGGACGTGTAAGGTGAGGGTAGTAACCAAGTGGTCGGAATTCCGAGGCAGGGTTAAAGGCGGGATTCGCCCTCCTGGAAAGATGGAACTTGACATCGGGCTGGCTCGCCACGCGGCGAGGCAGCCCCGGCAGGAAGGTACAGTCATCACTGTAGTGCCCCGCCTCAGTGTGTCCACCTCCCAGAAGCCTGGACCCGTTGCCTCCTGGTGGGTAGGCCCTGGTCAGTCCCAGCGCCCCTGAGCCAGACGGCCGAATGTTCCTCCTCATCGGCGAAAGAGGTGGCAGGTCGCTTCGTAAGGGGTAAAAAGCAGGCCGTGGGACGCGCTCCACCGGCATATACTCCTGTCTCCTTGCGTGCGGGAAACGCTCCAGTGAGGAGAAGGCGACGTAGTCGGACAAATAGGGCTGTCGGTTGAGTGGAGTGGACCCGGATAGTGGGAACGAGGGCAGGACGGGGTGGTACTGGTACGCAGGGGTGTTGGGGTAGAGGAGGACCAGCTGCTGCACAGCGTCGGGGTGTGGTTGGGGGTTTGGCCGACGCCGGGACCGGTTGCCGTAGACACCTGCCAGCCTCTGAGCCTGCCTTTGCCCTCCATTCCGAGGCCCTCTCTCGTCCTCCATCAAAGAGGTGGAGGCGGACCGCATCTTTGGCGAGGGGGTTGACTGGTAGAGAGATGGGTATAGGGGGGTGACTTGACATGGGTATGGCCGGTGGCTGACCTCAACAGACGATAGGCTGCGTTTGGCGACTCCTCCACTGATTTCAATGTTGTTGATGCCTCTGTGTTGAGGGTCCATCTCATCCTGACTGTAAACCGCCAGAGCGCGACTTTGCCGAGGCAGTTGGTGGAATGGGTAAGACTGTTCATACATCTGAGGAGGTAAGACACACAACCAGCTCTTTATATATACTGGGGCTTAAATATTTGTTTTATCTACAATATAATTTCGTAATTATCTAATAATGCATTTCTTTTACATTACATAAATGTGAAACACTCCCCTCACTAAGTCTAAGGAGATGCAACGAAATCCCACAACAATCCATTTAAGATCATTTTAGAACTTGGCAACTTTAGATATTTGAATTTTTCTTTGGCAAAATGACTATATCAACATGTAATCAAAAACATTTTCTAGCGGATTTTCCGTTGAATAGCTCTATTGTGTTTGATTGGCTGTGAATTTCTTTTATAGATATAATTCTTATTACCTCTTTGGAAACATCAGTGAGAAGATCAGGAGAAGATCGACACTGTCTGGGATCATAGTCTGAGTGACAGTGGCTCCTGGACACACAAAGAGGGGCAAAACAACATCTTTAATGTGTGATGACTGTGTCCTGTGCCACAGTCATCACACATTAAAGATACAGTTTCTTTAGTGTGGCGGTTTACCACTCTACCACAAAGTTCTTCCTTTCAAAATGGTACGGACTGTAGCTGTATAATACAATACATCCAGACTGGTTTTCACCTTTCAAAGGGCAGAGGCTTCTTCTCTCCTGATCCCATGCACTCTAGGAGCTGTTTCTGGGTTCTCCCACTGCCACACATAAAATACAGCGCGAAATGGTCATCGTTGTTTTCTGCAGATACAATACAATGTCCTAGTACACTGTGGGGGGAAAAAACTAAACAAAAAGCTGTTTAGAGTCACTTTCAGACATCATGTTATGAGTCTAACCGGTGTCATACCTGTATCTGAACCTGGAGCCCTTACAGGACAGCAGAGATTTATGTATGGCCTTGGGCTCCTCAGCCAGCCTAAAGAAAGCGTGGTACTCCACACACGTCTTCCAGAACGATTTACACACATCACGACTGGCCATGGCAAACTCCAGAGTGTCCTTACACGAAGGCTGGATGGGCATGAAATAATACCAAGTTATGCTCACTGTCATCAAACGTGAACATTTGAATCACTCTTATAGACTTTACAAAACTATTTACTATTGTAAATTGGGCTACTAGAGTAAAATAAAAAACTCTAAAAAGTACAAAAACCAATGAGTGTTCATCGTAGCTAACCATTAAGATGGTCATCATACTGGTGTTTGGTCTTTTTTTTTTTGTCTACTTTTAATATCAAAGACAGCTACGCCAGATTTGTTTTGCTTCTAAAACAGATTTTGAGACTGACTTCCCTTGACCTTTTTTAAATTCAGGTTCTTACCCCAACTTGGTCGTGTAGTTTGATAAGGAAATGCTTGCGTTTGAAGCTTAGCTTGCGAATCTTTGCCCAGCTAAATGTGTTGATTTTGGTGTTTCCCTGGAAAAAAAAGAAGAGTTAATGGTGAATATGTATAATATTGCTTCCTGTAATGTTATCCTTACTTTTCCAGATCATGTCATGCTTTCTTTTTCTTAGTACTCAAAAGGAAATGATTGACCTTACAAAGTCAAGGGTTTACCTAAGTCTCAAGTATTTGTCAAGATGGAGACCAAGAAACCAGCTGTGTTAACTGTGTCTTAGCTGAGTCTTCTTGTGTTACCTCCCAGTCTGCACCAGTAAAATACTATCAACCATAAACCATTAAGCTCATGCCTGAAAGACAAGCACTCCAGAGTGTGTGACCGCCAGGTTAATCCTCATTCCCTCCCCATCGTGGGCAGGGTGAGGCCTGATGCCGTACATTTCCAGCTTCCTTGCCACTTCCAGCAGGTGGACATCAGAGTCAGCCGGAGAGACTCCTCTTTGGGAAGAGAAAAAGCAAAAGGTGCTGTAAATGCATAGATTTTACGACCTTATGTTGTTGAGGAAAACTTGAACTTCTTCTTCACACCTGTGTTTCTTATGAAACTTGATGATCTTGTGGTCCAGATACTCCTGGTTGGGGACATAGTGCTTCATCTCCAAATGTTGACAGTCCAAGTCTTCATCATAATCCCCTATCTCTGCTGTATCACCAACATAAAAACCAACACTGCTCACTGGCTTTTCCAAAGAGTGTGAAATATTTGAATTGTGAAGTAAATGGCTTGCGTTTAGCTCTTGATAACCGCTATCGTGTGCTATCAGTTGGATTTCGGGTCCTCTGGGTTTATCTTTTGCTTACATTGCAGTATGTGTGAGACCAGCAGGGCGGCGCTGTTGTCGTTACACGTCAGACTGCCATTGGCCAAATCCTGCTTTATCTGTAAGGCAAAAAGATACCTGCACATACAAAACAGTTACTATGGATCATCATGCCTTCATGCCTTAGGTTTTTTCCCCTTCCAGTTTTTACTATTCATCTCTATAAAAGTCATAGCTGAATGAAAAACACTACAAATGTAGTACAGCGTAAAAAATAAAATAGTGATGAAAATATTTCAGAAATTAGAAACTTTACCTGGTGAGGCTTTTCTTTAGTTGTCCAGGATCTGGTGGGAAGAATTTGACTATAAACCTGAAGAATAAATCATTGGTGTCTGTCAGAATGAGAAGAAAAAAAAGCTAGTGTTACTATTTTTTGTCTGGGTTTCAACCGTTTACCGCACCTGAGCGAATAAATCATGGTACTGAGTCGCCCACAGAAACCAAGCACACAGTTTAGTGTTTTTTCTTTTACTTCTTTTGCAATTTCCTTCTACTGTGCTGTCCCAGTGTCTCAGTCTTGAGCACAATACAACAGAACTTGCACATATCGCCAGGGCGAGGTCAAAACAACCAGGATGAAGCTCATCTGCATGAATTATTAAAATATGCTCACAGACAGCTCAGGTTCCTCTGCCGAGAGTATTCTTGCTAATATTCGACCATGTCCCACAACTCCAAGTGGCAAAACTCTCGGTGGATGTGTCTGAGTAATTTGTGTACACGTATATGTGTCAGCCGTGGTTGAAAGTTCCCCGGGCGTGTTGCGTGCTTTCAGTGAGACTTCAGTGTCAAACTATTTCAGTATTCATTGAAGGTAAAGTTATTGGAGCTTTGAAAAAAGTAAAAAAAACACGGCGCTGCAGTAGTTTGACTGTTCAGAAATTCTGCAAAAGCTATAACTGCGTTTTTCTTTCCATGTGAAGATAGATCAAAATGACTTACATGTAATCTGTTTAACTAGCGGCTTCAGCAGTTCTAACCAAACCTGCAACAGAGACATTAAAAGGGCTTTATAGTCAAACATTTAAGCATAGAAATCTGCACATCTGTGCAACTTTGGGTTTCTTACATAATTTCCACTGTGGTGTCTGAACTCCAGGCCAAAGTATTCTTTCTCCAGCAGTTTCAGATGACCGCACACTTTGTTGAAGAAGTCACCTCCTAAAACTTTGGGCTAAAGAAGGCAGAAAAGAAATTAAAAATGAGGGGTTAGTGAAAAGGATAATTGGAGCTTTGTGGGTACTCTGGGGAGTATTCCACCGCTAAGAACGCTTAATTCTCCCAAACTTCAGCCTCATGAAACTTTGTGTGAGGATGAACCGTCCACTATGTGGTCATTAAGCTATGCATTGTGTTCAAAGTAACCCAGAAATAGAACCGCCCAATGCTAGGCTACCGCCATGTCCCACAGCGGAGAGAAAAGTTCTCATTAAGAAACCATGAAAGCCTTTTATAAACCCACTCATGCCACCCCCATGTAATTTGCAGAACACAGCATACCTGTATCTTTATAAATATTTGGAAAAAGTATTTTAAAACAAAAATATTCCCATGAATATCTCTGAGTATACATGTTGAGATCACTTTGTTTCAGTTTTTCAAATTAAATCAATACAGACATGGATGATACTTGCAGAGATGCAGATTAAATTAAAAATACCTAACAAAGAAAAATGTAGAAGTTTCCACTATTTTTTAAAAAGCACCTTAAGCTCAGTTTCATAGACTTGTAGTAAAAAAAAAACGTAGTCATTCTGACAACGCTTTAAACAACATGGTGTGAACCTGAAACCATACGCTTATTAACATCCAGTGGATTTTTCTTGTTTTAAACCTAAACCTTCCAGTTATCACACGCTTTCATGATAAAAACTGTTTTCAGGAAGGCAGGAAGGACCTCCTGTATCTCCCTTTATTGCATCAAAGCTGAAAAAGCCTGCCAACAAGTTGCCGGCAGCTGAAGGGCCAGCAGGACCTGCAAGTTCAAATATAGCACTTTTCTTTTGAATAAAATGCTATTTTACGAGCTAAAATTACTTCCCACCCAAACCAAAAATCTCTCTCTCCATCCATCTCCATTTTCTGCCTCTGCCTCCCTCTTCCGTCATCTCTAATTACCAAGATGGTGTTTGTGCTTCGTTCACTTACTATGGTGACAGTCGGAACATTTTTTTCCTCTTGTCTTCTAGCCTGTGTTTAGCACCCCAGCGTGGGTCACTGGACTCTTATTAACTTGTCATGAGATGAAGGAGGAGGAACAGAACAGCTGTTACAGATTATAGAGCGAATACAGGCCTGGGTGATGATTACTGGAGACAAATGGCCACCCTCAACACAGCCGAGCAGTTAGCCACGGTACAGGAGCAGGGGTAAGTTCAGGGAAATGCTACTTCCCTGCTTCAGGGGAATTCATTCTTTTTAACTTGACAAGAACTTACAAATAGCACAAACAAGAAATCTCATAAACTTTTTTGCTGTTTGTAAGATCTGCTAATGAACTTTAAAGCATTGTGCCAAAATGCCTCAGAAAATTTCCATTAATGGGATGTGCAACCGCTGCTATGTGGAAAATATAAATGAAATAATGTATTCTTGTACAAATAGTAATGGTATATCTACTTGGTTCCTTTGCCTCAATCATCGCTTGCTTTCTTTTATCTGGACACTTTCTGATCAATTGTTGGGGGATTGCCCTCCAGACTGGGTTAAGAGGAGAAAGTCTTATCTGTCTCTTTGCAAACACACACCGTCATTTGAAATGGAAAACCTTACTGTAAACCAGATTCACACCTCCTTCTCTTTGGAAGTTTGAATCGCCTCCCCAAATGGTCTAGCTAACAAATCTAGAAGTCAAACAGGTCCTCACAAAGACAAATGTGCACTTTCACTCCTATTTTTAAGATTGCAGCATCTGTAACTCTCACTTATTATCCTCTCGGTGGGCCAGATCCCCAATATTCATCACCATTTATTTTAGCTTCTTCCCATCCTTTCATCTACTCCACTCTTTCTTTCATTTTCTCTCTGATTTTCTGTTTTGGATTTTCCTCTGTTCCCTTTTTTTTGTAAAGATGCTGCCTGTGTCCCAGGGGCCACAGGGAAACTGTCAGGAGAAAGCATGGGCGTGGAAAATGGAGCTACTTAGCCCACACAATAGTGCGAGTCACACACAAACACACACACACACACAGGCACACAACCAGAGGATCCTTTTATAAATTGGACTACTGCCTCGCTGGTGACGTCACCATGTTGAAAAGGTGGCCTGTCACTCACCATCTCTTGACCTAAATAGTGCAGCATGTGTTCGCTCACACAGGTTTTCCCGTCCAGCTGCAAACGCAACACACAGTTGTCTGACAATTGGCAAATGTCTCAAGGGTGTACGTTCAGAAAAAGAAAAAAAAAGGCTAAATTAACCTTAATTTTTATTGCTTTGTTAAATGAAGCTGCTGCTGTTATAGCTCTCATTAGACATACATTGTTAAACAAACAAAAAACATAAATAAGCCTGTTTATTTTTTGTCCAATTTGCATCCAAAATTCACAGTTGGCTTGTAATCTTGACAGATTTCTCTTTTTAAAAGGGTTGGAACTGTCTGTGCTCTGTTGCCCGGGGCAAAGCCTAAAAAATTTAAGTTTATTGTGAAGTTATTCGTGAGATCTGAGGCCGTCAACCAGGCTTAGACCAGCACCAAACAGAAGTTCCAGCATCATCTCCTGGTCCAGTGTGGATTATCGCTTTCGTCCAATCATATGCAGTCCATTACTTTCTCTATTTGTAATCTTGTTTAGGATTGAAGATTTTTTTTTCTTCCACAAAAATCACAAATCCTGTGTTTGTTAAACAGGAATTTTCTACAAAGGCAAATATGATTATATTAATATTATTAAGCTTCTCAGTTAGACTGAAACAAATACAGAGGTAAATGAACTTAATGACTGAGCTGCATCATTCCTGACCCACTGAAACAGAAAGATCAAATCCACAATTACTGAGGGTAGTTACACACAAACAGACAGCAGAACTAAGAGCCCTTATCAGTAAAAATTAATTTTCTGTTGTTTATTGAAGTGCTTTTGGACAGTTTGCTTTTATGCATAGTTTTTTTTATCAGAGGAGAGGGAAGTTTGGGTACACTTTGTGATAAATCCACACTAATGAATAACAAGAAAGGTGCGTTGACTTAAAATCTAAAAAGTAACCAAAGTTCCTAAGTTGATTCAAAAGTACAAAAGCGCGTGTGTGTCATCTCTGACACTCACCTCCACCTCGAACGTGCGCTCGCTGTCATCCAGGAAGATGACGCGCAGCCGGAGCTTGGTCTCCTTGGTGACCCGGGATTTGGTCGCGAGACTCCCGAAAGTCCCAGTCCGCCGGCGCTGTTCTCCCATTCCCAGCTGTGCTCCTCTCTCTTAAAGCGAACAGTCCATAAAATCCATCTCCCTGACTACAATCTCCCCACCAAAAAAACGGCTTCACGCGCTCCTCATCAGCACCGCGGTGTCCGTCCTGTGGGATGCTGCTGTGAGAGCGCGCTCTCTCCGGACGCGTAATGGCGCGCAGGCGTTGTCCTCGGACATTAATTGACTCAGTGTCTGTGCAGCTGGAGGAAGAAAAACGGTCCCTTCGCTGTTAAATCGTTGGTGGAAAGTATCAGCATATCCACTACTTCACTACACACAGCCTGTGAAATCTGTAAAACTTAGAATGCACAGTAATTTTAAATAGAAAGAAAAGGAATTAATGAAACATTATGACAGGGTTTTGGGGATAAATGGAAATGTATGATCAAATTATAGTGAATATTCAGGTGTTTGGAATTTAGGCCCGAAAAGAAATGACTTAATATCAATTTTAGATTTGCACATCACACTGTGTGCTTATTGAAAATCTGCATCACACTTGTATGTGTGTATATATATATACACACATACATGTATATATATATATATATGATCATTAATGAACATTAATTCACAAATTATTAAATCACAACATTTATTCGGTTCTTGGTAGTTTTTTATACTCAAACTAAATGGACAAAATTTATGCAAATCAGTTAAATTTCAAATAAACAAAAATTGACACTGTCAAACAAATAAACAGATATATACAAATAGAATTTGTCGACAAGTTATTAAAAATGTTTCTATGCATTCCATGCAGATTCTATGCTCATAAACAGCAACATAGAAGCTATTTCAATACAATAGATATAAAAGCTTATTTGTGGAGGTCCGTATAGATGGAACATGAATTTACACAATGTGTGTGTGTCTTCTGTAAAAATAATATCAAATTTCACGGTGGCTGGATGCTTTTAGAGTGGTGACCTGTCCTAAAGTAGGCTAGTAGTGCAATGCCTTCTCTCGCCTGCAGCATGCACAGAGCACTTAGCATGAGTGTGTGTTCTTGTGTGTAGCCTACTTATTTTGCTCCTTGTATCAGACCTTTTCTGGTGTGTTTACTGACCTTGTTGGGAACCAGCAAAAGAGGACCAAAGATTGGTCACTGTGATAAGGAGCACCATTTCTGGGGTCCGCCTAGAGTCAAGGCAGAGGTGTGAATAGAGGCTTGGTTAAGCTTGGAGCTTACACAGTAAACAATTAGTTTAATAAAATGCCCTTTGAAACCATGTGTTTTGGTATGAGACGGGGTGATGGTCACATTTCCCTTTTCCTTTGACTTGCCCCTCAATTGACACACAAACAAACATTGACATAAAAGAAAATTATTCGAAAAAACCCCCAACCAAAACAACAATGACTTAAATGAAGTTTCTTTTACCCAATTTGTTCTGTGCTTGTTTCTGTCCTGCATTTTTATTTGAATGTAAAATCAGAATGCAGCTCAGTCTTCCTGAGTGTACGAGAACAGTTTTTGCTCTGTTTCTCTGTCAGATTATAATTCACTGCTGGAATTCATTTGCCTTTGTTCCATTTTTCAATTTCCCACTCAGACCACTAGATGGAAGTGAAGACCTGAGGATGATCCCAGCTGCAGGTACACAGCCTCATCATTCTGTAACACAGCGGGGCTCTCATCGATGTATCCAGACCACACTACTATCAGGAGAAAAGTAAACAGACTCATTTAGGGAGAGTTATATTCTAAATTGGTTTGCAACTATTGTTTCAAATGGTTGGAGAGCAGTTTTTTTAGCTTAATGTTTTTCTTGCTTTAATTTTAGATAGCCAGTCCTTCTGACATTTGTTAATTAGTATACGACCATTTTATTCATTTCAAGTCGCTGTCTGTCATACAAGGACGGCTGGTGAAATCCAGCCTTTTACTGTCGTCAGAAGTGAGGTGAATCCACACATGATGCCTGTGAAAACAGATTTAAGTTACCACAATGCAAGTAATACAAGTGCAAACACACACACACACACACACACCATCACCTACCGCGTTTTGACCATAACCTTTACCAACCTGAAACGATCTTCATCTGATCTGAACTCTAACAGCGTGAACACTTCACAGCTATTTAAATTCATCAAGAAAGCATAAACAACAATGTCAGAAATTAGTTTTATTTAAAAGATAGAAATAAAACACACAGACACATTAAACATGAGTGGCTCTTCTGATACTGCAACATGATCCTGCCTCTCTATGTCTCCGCTCACCATCTGCCACACACACACACACACGTGCACACACACACACACTTTTCATTTTTCCATCCCTCATCTCCATCACACGTCTCACTTTCTCCCTCGCACACTCAGAAACACACAAACGTAACCTGCCCGACACCGTAGCATCTGGCGTCTTTATGCTGCTGCCTCTCTCCTGAGGCACAAACACACACACACACACACACACACACACACACACACAC